AGGTACTTACTGCCTCCATCATCAGGGCTATTCTACTGAAAGAAACGCCTTTTTTGACACAAAAAGGGAAATGGAAGTTTATTCTGTGTTTCTTACGTTGCGTTGGTAATAACACGGCCACATTGTGGCTAGCATATTTCTGTATTAAGATGAAATAGCAGAATAGTTTGAAGAGAACGAGGTGATCTATACTACCTGCATATTGGGAATATGTGCAGTGCGTGTTTAAGGTTTGTAATGATATTCATTATTGCGTTCCCACCCTTGCAGCGCGTGCGCACAAACACACAAACCACTCTCAGAATCACAGAATCGCCTGCACCCCGTTTGTCACCCTTATAACCTTGCTGTACTCCGATACAGTCGCGACTTCACAAACATGTACACTCACTTAATTAATTTGGTGTTCAGATGTTGTATCGATTATTATTTCATCACTTTGATGGACTATCAGACAGATCTATGACACAGAAATTTCTGACTTATGACCACAATTCCTTCCTTAACGTATTTAACAATTTTTTAGCTAATAACAAAGACGAGCCACTGAAGTGCATTGAGTTTAGTTCAGTTCCCAGCTTCTCGGCTGATTTCTGTGACACATTAATGCTTGCCTCTCATACGGAACAAATACCAGAACTTCCAAACGGTCTCTTGCCTTTGCGAAGAAAATTGATTATGTGTTTCCTGTTTCCCCCATGCGTGCCGTATGTTCCACCGTTTGTTCATCGCCTAATTACAGTTAAGTACACCTATTAATACACTTACAGGGGGGTAACGAAATATTAGTAGACTATTTAGGCTGTTTAGGTCTGTCTTAATCCCTGATCGTCTGGAAACTGATTAATGATAATTTCTTAGATATACTTAAATTCTATTTATTTCTTATAGCGTATTTAATGACTCCTTTTCAACTGCGCGAATCGGTTTTGTGGCGACCAATGGGAATGCGATAAGTCTAATGAATCGTGACTCTAAAGTATAGCGGAATGAAGACAGTGTGGCCTGTTTTAATTAAGGAAATCTTGCTGTCTTATCACTTACGTGGCCGGAATGAGGAAAACCATTAGAACTTCGACCTGGACAGTCGTCCTCAGGGCCGAGAATCGAACGCGGGACCATCAAAATACGAGCTAGGAGTAACTTGTTAGCTATACAGACACGTTCTGACATATTTGAATAAGCCGTTACGTGTTTTAATGTTCGCCTTTTCTTAAGAAGAGGTCCATGATTTGTATTCCTAAAATTGTTTAATTTCAGATTTTGTTTTTGTAAAGCCTAAAAATTGAATGGCTTATGTGAAGATGTTTCGAATCGGAAAAGCTAATAAGAGATGCCAAATTGCTGGGAAGTTGGTAAACTTCTACCAGATTACACGGCGATACAACTCAGAAGACAGCCATCTTTAAATGTCTGAGATTCTGAAGGCAATTACTTGGATGTAAAAAATTAGACTGTCAAAGAAATGCTGATATGAGGGACAGACAGAAGCATGCTAGATGAAATTTAAAGATACCAGAAGAACTGGAAAGAACACGTATGAAGGTTGCAAGAGAATTCCGAAATTAGCGCTTAAATGTCAGCCAGTGAGAAAACGAATACAGGACATCGAAGGAAAATACGGAAAGATCAGTTCTTGGAAGGGAGTTGAAGAACCCCGGTTTAATAAGCCTGATTAATACCAATTAAAGAAGGAAGCCTATTAATTAACGTCCAGTCGATTCGGTATGGTTAGTGTGGACACTATTGTGTGTCTGATACTGCGCGTTCAGGAGACTGAATGGAGTAGTTGGCTGACCCTCCGTTGGGCGTTTGTAGTGACCAGCTATTAGCAAATTGCAGGCTAAGCTGCTGCAACCAGATGGCGTCGCGACCATGGTGGTGCGTGGCCCTAACGCAAGTATATGTTTGTTTTGGGGTGGGGGAGGGGGTCAAACACCTGCGAACCACCCCCTACGAGCCGACTAGATAACCTCGTCTTTATTCCCACAGAAGTTGAAAACAAATTGACGTTATAAAAATTGGTATGTTCTGGTGAAACGCACTGGCCCACGATAATTGGTTTTGTACTTTGGTACGAGAATGAATATTAATTTTGAAAAAATGGAATGATTTTAGGTTTTCTTCATCAGACGATTTTGTAAAAACACTATTCTTCCGCATTTTTTCCTGCTTCATAACAGAATGTGGCTTTTAGATAAACATTTTCGTAATTTATTCATAAGTTTGAAGAGGGAATCGAGGCTGAAGACTAACTGTCTCTTTAGGCGAATTTGTTCCTGACGAGGGTTTGTGCTCAAGAGGGCAACAAGTAGAAAGTATACTTATAACTACATTAGGATCAGATTCAGTTTGGGAAATGTTTGCTAACGTTCAGACCAATATTTTTAATGTATCTTCATTCTGACAACGTTAAGATTAAAATGTACACAAAATCATAGAATCTGTTGTTATTTTAGTGTGTGAAATGTCGTCTCTTACTTTGAGGTAAGAACACAGACTGATAATCTTTGGAGATCAAAGGCCTGAGGAAAAATTTGGACCCAATACATGGGAAGTAACAGGAGATGGGGTAATTTAAGTTCTGAATAACTTAGTAATGTTACTCGTCGCCAAATATTGAAACGGTGATTGAAAGAACGATGATCATACGCTTTCTAGTGGCCAAGTAACTAATTAACCCTTTGAAGCCGAAGATCGTCTAAATATTATTTATGAATTCAGTCCGTACCGCGAAGAAAACACTACACCTCACCATTACGAAAATCAGCTGGTTAGCCATTTGAAGCCGAAGCTCGTCTTCATAGTATTTACGAATCCAGACCGTACCGCGAAGAAAACACTTCACTTAACCATTAGAAGTCGAATCAGGCGGTACCACATAAGATTTAACATCCCGGTGAAAGCCTTAATGTGTTGTAAACGCTTTTAACTCAATAGCTTTCTTGTGAACACGAGGTGTTCCTATGAGGGCGACAACATAGGCCTACAACTGATTTATGTTAACATTTATTTATGGTTTACTTGTCACTGACTTGGTTACGTTCTTCAGTATAGCAGCAGGAAGTGAATAGTCTCACCAGGTGGTGAATTCATCGATAATGCTTGCCTCAACAGGACGACCACCGATTGGGTCTCAACTTTTGGTTCGTTTCTGGAGGCACTGATGACCTTACGGGCCTCAAGCCGTTCTCAGATCACGCTTTGATAACCAGTATTTTATGCGAAATTCGCATGGTTACCACGTCAATAGGGAAATTAGGAAAATTACACCGATAATGAACGAGTGGGTGCAATTGCTCTCATGTATTGTAAACCGGATTTCCATTCCGTGGATCGGAGTTTGATACCGGACGAGGGAGTAAATTAATATTTCTAGTGGATAAGCTTGCGTAGGGGAGTGTTTGTTAAGCTACTTCACTTTCAGTTTCTACTCTGTATACCATTCTATCAAATCGTTTAGGGATGTACTTGAACACATTTTTAATGTCAAAAACAGTTCGTGCTGTAGGTTTTAGTCGACTGAACGTTTTCTTCTGAGCAGTCAGTTCATTGTCAGATGGAGTACAGATCGCTCGCTTCTGTACCTTTAATGTTTCATGACTAATTTAATTTATGTGTGTATAATGAACTTATGATGGAGAGGTCGTACCTGTCGATCGCGTGAATGTTTAATCTCCGTTAATTGCGATTACAATTGGTATTGGATGTATGTGACTGTGATAAACCTTGTTGGACTAATTTGACCCGTATTTTGCATGGGATCTGAGTCGGAATTATAGTTTTGTCAGCGTCTATTCATCACACAAGACACACACACACCCATATATATATACACACAATTAAACATGTCAAATTATTTAAAATCTACAAACTTCTTTTGTTATGGCTGTAAACGTAAGCTGTAGATGACAGAATACTTTAAGACATTCTGTAGTAATATCAAAACGATATTAGCTTTAAAACGGTATAATTTTATCTACAGTGAGTAAACATGAAATCAGCAAGGCGTGTGAAGTCTTACCATAGCTCGTATGCATTCTTCATTTAGTATTAATTAAAGTAGGCGTTAAAGTTTTTCATCCGGGTGTTTTATTCGCATAAACTGTATTGATATTGTTTGTTATATATCATGTCTATAACAAACTATTACTTAATGACCAACTACATGCATGTCAGATTTTCGATGTTCAGATTCAACATATTTTGATAAACAGTGTTGACATTAAAGTCCTAATTGACACGTGGATCTTCAGCAAAGACGCGGTCAACTGTGTAAGATTTGAAGCATTTAAGGCGACTGAATGAAGTCCAGTCTTCCCGGGCGATTAGCCGTTTGGCAATGGAAGACTGTCTGTACTTCCATCATGAGCCCTGAAAATGGAGGTAGAAACAGTCTCCGAAACGTTGGATTTACAGCGTCATTCTCACACGGTTGACCAACGTGGATGACTTCAACGAGTGAACAAGCATACATTCATATAATTTCTTCCGTGGGCGCGTGTGCAATTGAAACCGTGGTGCAGTCTTTCTTGAAAAGTTAACAGTTGCTCATCTGGTGAACAGTCTGCACACTTTTATGAACCCAATGTTTATTACCGTGCTTACATTAAACCACCGCTGGACTCAATTCTTAGTAACTTCGATCTGTCTTATTTTAAAATGGTACTAACCTCCGATCTAAGCCTTGGTCTCCCAGAGGTTTTCCTGCCAAAATGTTCTCTTCTATATGGAGGTATAGCTTACACATGAACGTCGGCCATACATTATAAAGAGAGTTTATCTTCACACCCTGGTCGCTTCACCCCTAATGAAATAATTCCGTTCCCATTACACAGGAGGGTAGGTGTGCTCCAAAGCCGATATGGACTTTGTGGGGAGGAGAAAAATCCAGCCCTGCCGGGAATTGAACCGTGGCCGTCCACCCCACAGTCTAGTTGCGAGTACGAATTATATAACGAACATAATTATTTGAATCGCCGAAGTTAACAAGGACTCACCTCTGCCACTCCTGCCGACGAACCTGAGGTCATTAAACTTGGCCACCTGGTTCTTCATGACCGCCGTGCAGTTGCGAAGTTCCGCGCAGTAATTCTCGTCGTTCCCCGCCCGAACAGTGACCAGGGTGCCATCCAGCACGTCCCCGAGAGCCACAACTTTGAAGGCGACGGGCAAGGTCTTGTTGGATCGCCAATGGTTTGGCAGAGATGAGCAAAGTAAGTAGGGACTGCCAGTACGGACAAGTTCTCCCGGGTGTTCCGCCTGGACTTCCCTGAGGACTCGCTCTGTCCACCAGAGTTCTTCAGTACCGCCGGCAGGGTTGCTGCCCCCGCCACCGCCCCCGGCATCGCTGTTACAGTCGGGGGCGCTCTCAGCCATTGTCCGCAATCGCTTCTTGCAACTCAGGAAGCCGTCGTCCCCTTCGGCGCAAGCTGCAGTTGACACCGGTGTCACAAGACCCGGCAAATGCATTGGGCGGGATTCGCTCCAAGCCACGCGGACACCTGACGACAATCAGATCACTTGGTCTACACCACTAATCTTCTAACAGTCTCGGGAAAGGCAAGTATTCTTGACATATTTCAAACATTAGTTTCGACACATCTTATGGCAGTCTTCAGAGTAAAAAAATTCTTCCTGAACACTGAACTATTGTCCAAATTACGTAGCGCAGGGTAATTATTTTTCTCCTGCCCTCAGAAGCAGCAAAATCCTCTTCGTATATTTAGGGGACGTTCCGTCAAAGTTATATATTCATGTCAACAATCTCCAATCCAAGAGAATCGTGAAACATACTTTTACTTCGCTTGGTTTTTGAAAGTCGTGTGATGAAACTGTTATTCCGATATCTTCCATTTAACTTCGATTTCTCTCTTAGGTAAATATTTCTAATCAACTTCATTAAGCATCCAGATGTAAAATACGTTTTTTATAGACTTATGATATTTATTGAAAGCTGTATTAAATGTATCATCGTCTTACTTTCAGATGGAACAAACGGTTTTGATATCTTCCGGATTATCCCATCACTCTTTGAATCTTCTCTAAATCGGTTAAGGAATCTGATATAGATCTATATCATTAATTAATCTTCACTTACAGTTCTTTAAAACTCAAGACTATATTTATATCCGATTGCTGAATTCCTTTCAGCTGCTGTAATTGTTCTTTATTGGTTGGTTTACAAAAATTAACTCATAATTAGACTTTGTTAGCATTTCACGCCTGAACAGTACAACATTTAAACTTGGCTAATGATTTGCAGTAGGAGTTATGACTGTTATACGCAGCTGACGTTGACTCTTCGAGTTATTATCAAGAAAACTGCAGATTCTTTGTGCAAAGTTAGTGTAGAATTCTCCTGTTAATGCTGTGTTTCATTGTATGTAATTATGGGCTACTCTGAAAGACAGCTGTTCTCAGTGACCTTGTTTTTTCAAATGTGACTTTATTTTTCTGTAGCTTTATAGTCGATGAAAGACGCCAGTGACACACTATATAAACACATTTGCACACAACCCCCAAGTAATTTATTCAGTTATTACATTTGGTGTATTTATTTTACGTCATATGTCGAAATCACTATAAATTTGCAGTGAACACTGCTTGGAAAACTTGCGCGTTTGTTTCTCACTTGCATGCAACACTTTGCTTCTGCGTTGCGTTGAAACACACGCGTCAGAACACTCTGGCACTGTTGCTGTCAGTATCCGCGGGATCGTGATGTTCGCTTTGGCGCGTGTTGCGCGGTGTGCAGGGTAGACGAACCTGCAGGCGCTACGTCTCTCGCCGCGCGCTTGCAGCCTGACTGAGCGAAGTCCTCGTCTCGAACTGTCTGTTCCACGGAGGAGCGAGTAGCCTGTGGTTTTCCCATGATTGAGTCAGACCCAATTCTCTACAGACCGGTCACCGGTTGGCTGCAAATTGCGCATGCGTCATAAGAGGAGGCAGTCTCTCATCTCGGAAAAATACTATATCTCATTTTTTTTTATTTATATTTGTTTTCAACGAAGTGTCAGTTATCTGAACTCTGTGTTTTTCTGTTTTGTCCCCTAGAAGGGTAGACTACCATGTGTCGCGCCGATCTGTTCACGTTCCCAAAACACCAGTCATTCTTAATGAGGTTTCTTGCGAGGTTATTTTTCGAACTACTTGCTGGGGGGTGGTAAATTGAAATAGGCCTCGACCGCATCCTTCCTATTTCTCACTTAAACCTTTGCGTTTGAAGCAGTGTCATGTAACCTTAGAACCAGTCATTAGTCGCTCATAGCGCATTCACAGTTGGGTGCCTGTAACTGGTAGTGGTGGTTGCATACCAGATTATTTCAGGGGTAGAATATTATTCAAACCACAATTGATTACGCGTTCATCGTCGGTTATAGCAGTGCATGATGCTCTGAAAATGTTGCCTAACTTTTATTCTGACGTTTTTTTGTCCAGATATGTGACTGTCTTCTTTACTGGCTCATTTCTGACTGGCTGATAGTTGCTTAGCTGTTCAATAAGTTCCTTACTTTAGGGTACCTTAACATTTAACATCGTAATAAAAAAATCCAATTCATACCTCACCTTTGGAATCCACTTCTCTTAAGAGATATTTTGAAGTTATCCTTGTATTTGTTCCCAAGTGATCACTTCTGGCGTTTTTCCCCTTTATCTCCGTTACCTTCTTGTACCAAACGTCGTGGTTGAGTGGTTAGCACTCCTGCTTCGTACTTGGGAGGTTCCGGTTTAAAATCTCGGCCTGGACGCTGGTTATCCTGCCTGAGGTTTTTCGTGGTTTTTCTCAGTTCCTCGAGGCAACTGATGGGATAGTACCTTAAGTTAGGCCACCGTTAAACGAACCGTAAATAACTTCTCCTCCGACTGCTATTCCTTCTTCAGTGTCCGGTTCCACGGAGCTGAGCGTTGAGGTTTTGATAGTGTAAGCTAGGCTGTTAAGATGTTTCTCCAGTTAAACAGTAAATTAACATGGGAAATATATATACAAGAAAAGGAAACTTGTTTAAGGAAACCCGTGGTATGTAAATTGAAAGACTTTTTCAAATAATTACTTTTTGTCTAATTTTTATCGTGTAGTATAAAGAAACGCAGTTGGCCGCGGTATTGATCTGCAGTCCATTTTATGATGTCGATGATGGGGTTGTGGTTAGTGATATGACATTTAAATGGTTGTATATAATAAATGCGCTTTCGAAATAGGCCTGTAGCTGCCCTGTGACCATGTACAAATTTGAGTCTGGATTACGTTACCACCAACTTTGTTAGAGAATGTAAATCAAAAACAGATGCAAGTTCTTCTGAAGGAAATTGTTAAACATAGCCTGCCTTTTCTGTTAAATTGCTTTCTTAGACTGTGTCCATCCAGGCGTTATAGAAACCACAATGTTTCGCATGTTGTTTCTACTGCCGTCTTCAGGTGAAAGGAGGATAAAACCTAATCTTTTGGGCCCCTGATCGAACTGTTGTATTTCTGTTTAGTAAAGAGCCATGTTATTTCAGCTGTTTCTTATTTCTTAAAATTTGTTTAAAATTGGACCTTAATAACGGTCAATTGACACGAAGACCTTCACGTGTTTTTGCGAGCAGAACTGACAGGGTGGGGGATTTGTACATTCACAAAGGTTAAAGATCGGGGGATTCCCGCGTGGGGGGAATCCTCAGCCGGGCCAGTCATTGAACTTTGAATCATCTGAATGCACTTCCCTTCTTCATACTTCTTAAGGTTAGCGTAATTCGAGTGCATGGCTTGTACTCTGTCTATACGAAGGTAGTTTTTCCTTTGAAAGTTTTCCATAAAATTTCTAGTCGCATTTCATATAGAAATGTAGTGAATTCATTTCATTAATTAATTAGTGGGCTGGTGGGCAAACCAGAATGAAAGAGACCACTGGGAAGACCTAGACGTAGGTGGGAGGATAATATTAAAATGGATCTTAGATACGTGGGATGGGGTGGAATGGACTGGATTCATGTGGCTCACTTTTTGGAACCAGTGGCGGGCTCTTGTGAACGCGGTAATGAACCTTCGGGTTCCATGAAATGTTGGGAATTTCTTGTGTGGCTGAGAGACTGTTGGATTCTCAGGAAGGACTCGGCTCCATGGATTTTGGAAGTAATTGAATAAATGGTAACTTGTGTGAATAAGGAGATACCGCACACGTGAGAAGCGAGAAAGAGTAGTGAGGATGTGATGTGGAAGATTGCTTAGGCCACGCGGAACGTCGCTGGGGCAAGGAGAGATGGGCCGAGGTTCCAGCGCCGATATGTATGGCCATGGCTCTAGATATTCCCAGAGACGCAATGGGCGGGAGAGGGCGGAGCTAAGGGGGTCAAGGGAGGGCCCTTAACGTCGCAGACACGCCCACCTACATGTTGCATCGCCGGCAGCGCCCAAATTTGGGCACATAAAAACTGATGACTTGCAAGTACGATGTTCACGACATGAACCTGTAGTAGGAAACTTTTTTTTTTTGCACGGCGGATTTTAATTGAAAGTGGATCGATCCGAAAATGAGCAGGTGGATTTCAGGTCCGCTGGCTGAACGAGTAACTTTATCGTATAAATATATTATTTTTTTAAAAAAAAAAGTTTGAAAATAAAATTTTGACAAAAACGAGCTGATGGGCCTCCCGTTTTATGAATAAATTTTGTTTTATCATCTTTGTACTCACGGCCCTGAGAACCTGAAATCTCAGCCTTCAGACAGTCGACTCCAACACAAGTCGACGCACTGTCTTCGTATTGCATTACACCCACACTCGTCTGTCTGCGCCCCAAGAGATGTGCAATGGCCCTGACGAAGCAGCACGTGTTCATTCTTCGGCCCTAAATTAGGGGCACTTGGTTGGATTCGGAGCGAAGGTGTTTCAATTTCAGTCCGAAATGAAACGGAAGCATCATCTCAAGGCATACTGCAGGGCGATACCATTCCTTATAAAATTGTGTACTAAATTTTGTCAAAATGTAGCAAGTGCGCGTTCAACAATGATGATGAAGCCACGAATATATTAAATGTAGCTGCAGACAGCCGACAAGGGGTGGTCCTCCAGCTTGGGAGTGGAGAACGTTTAACAACGCCTTACACTAAAATATCAGGATGTTACGAAATGTTTCACAAGGGCTTGAATTCTTAAGAAAATATTGATGGTATAGGCTGTTCTGAACACGGTAATGGACCTTCGAATTAGCCAAGAGAAAGGAGCAGAATTTCTTGACAAACTGTTCCACTATCAGCTTCTCGAGGAATCCTCTCTGTGGAGCCAGACTTTTATGATGGATTGAAGAGCAGATTAAATTCGGGAAAAACTTGTTACTAGGCCACTGATTTTTCAGAATATTTTACTATCCTGTGTTTCGTAGAGAATCCTAAAGAAGGAGAATTTGCCTATACTGAACTAACTGTAGGCCTACCTGCTGTTTTGTGTGGGTGTGACGCATTGTCTCTCACTCTGAAAACTCACAGAATGATGAAGGTTAATGAACGACGTTCCGAGAAAGATGTTTGGAAAATAAACTCATAGGCATACATAATTATAGTCAGCAACTGAAGGAAAGAGACTACTTGGAAGACCTAAATGTAGATGGGAGTAGCTGTAGGGCCTGATACTAGGACACATCTTGACGAAATTGGGTGTGAAATGCGTTGGATTGAAGTGGTTCAGGGCGGAGTATATTACCAGGCTTTTGTAAACAAGTTAATGAACCCTCGAGTTTCATAAACCACGGAATTTCTCGGAGCGATCTTCGATTATGGACCTTTTGTAAGTTATACTACACCCATTTTGCGTCGTTTCATCTTAGTGAGTTTCTCTTGTGGCTGTCTACGTGCGAAGAAGGGCGGTAAACCACTAGAGGGTAGAGGGGTAGGTAATGAATAAAAGTGTCCCCTTTTGCTTCTGTTTTGTGGTCGTCTCAATGAAAATATCGAATGAAGGGGGCGGGAGGTAAATAAGAAAAAGTTTGTGGGGTTAAGAAAATAGTTAAAACCGCGACGCAATTTGACCGAGGTTATGACTAACGATCCATTAAAGCATTCAGTTAGCGGCGGATAGCTGGCACCCACCCTCAAATGCTGCCAATACCGCAAAACCACGAGGCTTTCAACCATGCGTCTTCTATTCTTTCATTCTTTTGCCACAAAGGAATTTTGCTCAGGCGGTATTTAAATTATTAGTCAAACCCGGTTGGTTTGTTAGTATGTTAGTTAATCGGTCACCTCGGAAGTGGATTATTATTATTATTATTATTATTGTTATTAGTGTTCTGTCTGACGACAGGTCCATATGAACAGGATCCTTCCATCCTTTTCTCGGCCTGGGACCTGTTCATATACGTTCTTGGCAGATGATCCAGAAGTGGTTTGCCATTGCCTTCTTCAGTGTGTGAATGGAGTAATTGTTGGGATGCCACGGAGAAACCGGGGAA